CTCTCATCTCCTCCTCTCTCCTCTCCCCGACCCTCTCTCCTCCCCACTCCTCCTCTCTCCTCTCCTCTCTATCCTCCCTACTCCTCCTCTCCTCTCTCCCCCTCTCCTCTCCTCTCCTCTCCTCATCCTCACACCGCTGATTAAACTGATAAACGACAGCAGAACCAGAGAGAGAACAGAGGAGGAGGACGATGGGAGACACGGCGCTGGAATCCCATTAGAGCGGCTTCACGCCTAATGGCTAAAATGCTAATTTGGATATTGCCCGTTTAATTTCACAAATCCTTAATTGGCGTGACATTTGGAGTTAAAAGCTCTGGCCCGGCTCTGACCCGCGGTGTCACTCGGCGTTGGAGCCACACGCCATTATCAGCTCACGGCTCTCACGCTCTTCTGATTAGCACCGAGACCTGACCATCGAGAGGAGACACCGTCGCCGTGGCAACCAGACCGGTCCGATGGCCACGACCGGGGCCAGAGAGAGCTCCAGGACTCTGAGGACGATCACCGCTGAAAGTCATGAACAATATGTGCATTTTAGTTTGAGCACTTTCCGACTGAGCCTAAAACTAGATTCTTTAACAAAGCAGAAGGTTTTAAGAAGAAGAAATGTCTCGTTAGAATGAGAAAATAAACAGATTTTGAAATGATTCTAGTGATAATCCTTCTTTATTATATGACTTGGACCGTTCGTGCGCTCTGATTGGCTGATTTGCGGTCTGATATTTTCCCATCTCGGACCGTTACCATGACAACTGATCCGCAGCATGTATTGCATTTTATATCTTTCCTCTGTAAAAAATAAATAATGAGCCATGACTGGGAGCATTCTCAGTGAAATATGTAAAAAGCATTGGTATTTTATATTTGCACAAATTAAAAATAGTCATATAATAAAACATTTATAAACCTCGCCACGGCTCGGTCTGTGCCCATAGACGTCGGAACTAGGGGTGCGTGTGCCGGGAGCGAGAAGTTATCACGATACAAGATGTTGCGTCTACCCTGCGCCCCAAACCCGCCCCGTGCTGTCGGAGGTGCTTATGAAGCTCTGCCCATATCTGTCTCGGCCTCTTTCTCAGCCTTGTAAGTAAGTAAGTAATCTTTATTTATATACCGCCTTTTCACTGCACATCGGAGTCGCAAAGCGGTTTACAATTGTTATTTTTGGGAGTGGGGCCAGTACAGGAGGCACATGCCAGACCTATTGTACATATTTTTAGTGGTAGGGGAAACCGGAGTACCTGGAGGAAACCTACGCAGACACGGGGAGAACATGCAAACTCCACTCAGAAAGGCCCTGATCCAACCGGGATTCGAACCCAGGACCTTCTTGCTGAGAGGGGAGAGTGCTATCCACTCAGCCACTGTGCCGCCCACGGTGCAGAGTGCAGATTAAAGACCTGGATACACCAGTGACGTGCGGTGGGGGATCAATCATGTGTTCATATGATTATACCTATACCTTAGTTATTAATGAACAGCACAGACCAGTTCAGTTCAGACCAGTTTCCTGTTTAAGTCCAGACAATAGTTTGAGCACAGATATGTAATCCTCCATTTGGAAATGAGTTCAAGCGCCCCCTTGAGGCTTTCTTCACTTACAAGCTGTGGTTGAGCGCCATTAAGACCCATATTTACTTCAAAAACACAATTTATGAGCCATCCTCTTAACAGTAAACATGTTGATTGTAAATGAAATATTTTTGAACTTTTTAAACTGCGATAAACAGAGAAAACAGTTTGATCGCACCCCACAGGCCTGTCCCTGTGAGCTGCAGCATTTACCATTGACTGTATATATTAATGGACAGAGTCACGCCTGTCTCCGCCGTTCTAACTAATGGGCCAAAAAATGTGCTCTACTGGAGCAATCCAAAATGGCCGCGAGTGGTCCCGCCCACAAGAAAACTGTGAAAAAACACATCTGTGCATGTGTCAGCCGGAGAGAGCTCCATTCATTTGAACGAGAGACTTCTAAAGTCCACAGCGACTAAACTAGAGTGGTCCAGAACACTCAGCATTGGCACACATGTGGAACGGAGCTTTGGGCCAAGAGACAACTTTTGGTCCATCCTGAAAAGACGTTTTCCAGAGGTCTGCCAATGCTATATGTTAGCATTGGCTAATTATTCTTCTGGGTCCACCCCCACAGGCCCGGGGTGGTACTGCAGCATGTCAGCGCATGTCATTTTGGCCACTTTTGAGCCGGGACCCTCCCCCACTGCTTTTACGTCTCCCAATAGAGGCTTGCCTCACAGCGCCGCTCTGTCAAATCTGCGATTTAAAGGTATAAATAAATGAAATAAGGCAAAGTTACATTGAAATAATGCACAGCACAAATCACTAATATGATATAGTGACCAAACATTATTGTATCCATTTTATTATTATTCTCTCAGATATATTCTCTCTATGATCTCAGATGAGGCTGGGCCTGACCTGCCTCATCTGACCGCTCGTCACTGGGCTACACAGGGACCTGATCGATGCGATGTTGAAAGGAGGTTCACTTTTGGGAAAATATGAAAGTTCTTATATGATTGCAAACGGTTCCTCTTCTGTCAGTGTCAGCGCGATTTACTTAAAATGTACCATTGTTACAGCTTTTAAAAATGTATTTTTTTACATCCTCTACAGCCAACCGTGTGTGTCTGACAGTGTGCATGTGCCATACAGAAAAACTGTTTGTTTTGCTTTGAAAAAGACAATGGGCCTCATTCACGAATAACTTCGTAAGAAACTTCTTAAATTTCTACTCAAGTCGTTCTTCAGTAGATTTCTAAGAAGACCCTACGTGGGATTCATCAACGTGCTCTTAAGCCGCTGAATTGTTCGCAGCTGTTCTCTTAGATTGATGAATGCCAACTCCTCGTAAGTAGAGCGCGCGTGCCCGGTGCTTCATTAGCATAGGTACTTAGCATAGGTAACCGCCCACTAATGCCCATATAAGGGACTGAAGGGTCGTGTGCAGACGGCAGAGGAAACAGCAACAGGCCTAAAGCAAACAGTTACACGGAGCAAAAGAGTCACCCTTTTTTCTTCTTTTGCCAGACTGAGAATAAAGTCATAAAATGTTGACATAAAAGTCGAAATATTATGATAATAAAGTCGAACTAGCAAAATTATGAGATTAATCTAAAAATATGATGAGATTAATCTCAAAATGCTATGAGATAAATTTAAAAATATATTATGTATTAATTTAAAAATGAATCTCAAAATGTTTTGAGATTAATCTAAAAATATTTTGGACCCTGGGAGGAGATCCAGCGTGGACCAGCGCTGAGACCAATGCAGACCCGAGGAGAGACTGGAGTGACCAGCACACAGAAACCAGCGCGGACCTATAGGAGAGACCGCATAGACTGGAGTGACCTGACTGGAGAGACCGGTGCACAGAGACCAGCGCGGACCGAAGAGAGACCGCATAGACTGAGAGACCTGACTGAAGAAGAGAGACCGCATAGACCAGACTGGAGAGACCAGCGCGGACCGAAGAGAGACCGCAAACCAGACTGGAGAGACCAGCGCGGACCCGTTTGGATCCAGGAGCGTGCAGCACGGACCCGTATGGAGAGACCAGTGCAGACCCGTCTAGAGCCATGGGAGAGACCAGTGCAGACCCGTCTAGAGCCATGGGAGAGACCAGTGCAGACCCGTCTAGAGCCATGGGAGAGACCAGTGCAGACCCGTCTAGATCCATGGGAGAGACCAGTGCAGACCCGTATAGATCCATTGGAGAGACTAGTGCAGACCCGTCTGAGCCATGGGAGAGACCAGCGCAGACCCGTATAGATCCATGGGAGACCACCAGTGCAGACCCGTATATATCCATAGAGACCAGTGCAGACCCGTATAGATCCATAGGAGAGACCAGTGCAGACCCGTATAGATCCATAGGAGAGACCAGTGCAGACCCGTATAGATCCATAGGAGAGACCAGTGCAGACCCGTATAGATCCATGGGAGAGACCAGTGCAGACCCGTATAGATCCATAGGAGAGACCAGTGCAGACCCGTATAGATCCATATGAGAGACCAGTGCAGACCCGTATAGATCCATAGGAGAGACCAGTGCAGACCCGTCTGAGCCATGGGAGAGACCAGCGCAGACCCGTATAGATCCATAGGAGAGACCAGTGCAGACCCGTATAGATCCATAGGAGAGACCAGTGCAGACCCGTATAGATCCATAGGAGAGACCAGTGCAGACCCGTATAGATCCATGGGAGAGACCAGTGCAGACCCGTATAGATCCATAGGAGAGACCAGCGCAGAGACTCAGCGCGGACCCAGTAACCTCCTGCAGCAGCAGTATATATGCCGTTGTTCTGTGGCCCGTGGATAAAGAAATGCCCCCTATAAATAGGATGGGGTCACTAATACACGGCAAGATTTCCAATGTATTTGATAAAGCGTTGGCACATTTCATTTCAAAATGAATTAAAAAATAGGCTAAATTACCATTAACATTTAAATAAATAAATACATACATCAATATGACGGACATATCACTGGAATGTTTTTGTATTTTTATTAAACTTCACCAAAGAGGACAACCCCGGCGTGTGAACATGTCGGCACTGAATGCGTACGAGTGCTCCTGAGGACTCGTAGAATTTGTACTTGCCCAAGAGAAATTCTGGTTACGAGAAAAATTTGTGAATGCCACTTTCTTCGTAAAAACCTCGTAAATAGGATTTACGTACAAATCTGTTCCTAAGAACCGTTCGTGAATGAGGCCCAATGTTCAGTTTTCTTGGTTTATAATGTTTAATTTTCGTTTTCTTAACAATTAAGATGCTATGTTATTATCCAGTGTAATCCAAGTATGAGTCTCTCAACTCTTCCAACAAAGACCCCCCCCCCCCCCCCCCCCCCCCCCCCCCTCTCATGCCGTGTCTGTGTTTCTCTGAACAGACCTCACGCTCCTTTAATAAGTCCTATTCTCTGTGTGCGCAACGATGACACTGACATTTCTCCAGTGAGACGAACAGATGAGCCACAAGGACCTCAGCCACAAGGACCTCAGCCACAAGGACCTCAGCCACAAGGACCTCAGCCACAAGGACCTCAGCCACAAGGACCTCAGCCACAAGGACCTCAGCCACAAGGACCTCAGCCACAAGGACCTCAGCCACAAGGACCTCAGCCACAAGGACCTCAGCCACAGGGGCCTCAGCCACAGGGGCCTCAGCCACAGGGGCCTCTCTGCATGGGTGACACTACACACTGTTTCTCACTCAACCTTTGACCTTCATTGACCGAGTGGAGTCATTTTGATCTGGGACCTCAGGAGACCATCCACGTGGCTAACTCTGGCATATTTACATGTGGATTTTAACTCTTATTAATTAATGTGCACTGTTCAATCTTAAACAACTTAATTAAAAACATAAGAAGACCCTGGGCTTCTATATTCCTGCACCATTTATATAACTTTAATCAGAAAAAGGTTTCCTACCAAGAATCTACTTATTCTATTTGAGAGTGAAATAAATATGGAAAACTAAAACATTCATTTATTCATTTTCTACCCTTTTATTAGTCCATTTCTGGGTTGGGGGGTGACAATGAGAGCAGCACCAGTCCCTCTGATCCTCTGCAGGGGGGGGCGGGGGGTCCACAGGAAGATGGCTGCTCCGTCAGCGGTGCCACAGCCTTGGTCTTTCAGCCTTGGTCTTTCAGCCTTGGTCTTTCAGCCTTGGTCTTTCAGCCTTGGTCTTTCAGCGGGGGCTTCAGGCAACGTGGGGTTAAGCGTCTTGCCCAAGGACACGCCGACGGCAGACATAAACCGATCATTTATACAGAAATATTCCAATGTAAAGTCGCACAGGCTGATAAGTCGGTGTTACCATGACGCTCTGGTTCAGGACAGACTTCACGCTGATGCAGACAAACACATGCTTCTGTGAGATTCTGATTTCACAATAGTTGTTGGTGTTTGTCGCTCACTCCACACAAAGATGGAGCAGGTCGCCCAAAAGAGCTGCATGCCAGACCCACCGAACATGTTTTCAGTGGGAGGGGAAACCGGAGCACCTGGATGAAACCCACAAAGCCAAGGGGAGGACATGCAAACTCCACACAGAAAGGTCTAGAGGTGGAATTGAACCCAGCACCTTCAAGAGCTAACCACTGTGCCACCAAGAGAGAGACTAGGGATGGACAATATATGGGATAGATATACACATTTGGGCGGGGCTAAGAACAGGAAGCAAAACCCCAAACTCCAAAAATATTGAAAAATAAATCCATTTCAAAATCCAAATAGTGTCATGAAGAAGTGAAGTGCATGAAGGACCCAAAATGCAGGAATGCCAAAAAGTAAAGATTTTATGATGATACTAATTAATAGTCCAGGACAAGACGGAGACAACACAGTGAACCAGCAACAAGGGGAGAGGAGCACAGGTACATATAGCACAGGTACATATAGTCTGGCCTTATCCATCCGTACTCTCTGCTCCATCATCATGTCCTGCAGGTAACGTCTGGGTCTGGTCCCTGTGTTAGCGATTACAATCGGTTGAATTTTGACCGACCAATCAGAGAGCGCGGAAGGCAGGTGTTGTAGTTAGTTGTGGGTGACGTCAAGAGTTTGGGTCGAACGGAAAGGTCTTAGTTTGGCAATGACGACGAATGCGATAGTAAAGTAAGTAAGTTCTATCAAGAAATTAAAACCGGAGCAAGAGGAATGTTTAGCAAATGTCATCGCTGGAAGAAATTGTGGCGCTACTCCCCACGGGCTCTGTTAGCGGCAAAGGAGATGGCTAAAGCTAGGCTAAATGCTATCGACTCACTCGGGCTCATTACCTACGTCACGTAAACTCAGATCCAATGGTTTCAATCTGCAAAAGAAGTTAGCCCCTCCCACCTGTTCACGGACTCATGGAGCTAATCCAGACCTTAGTATGAAATGTAATTTGTACTATGGTGTGGTACGACCAGGCTAGGTACATATAGGCCCAGTCCCAACACCCACACTGCCCCCTACACTCCTCTGAGTGTGCATTTGTCTGAAGTGCACACAAGGGTTTGAGTGGCAGGTAAAGTTGACGTCATTTTCAGACCTAAACTTTATAATAATTAAAGGTAATTTTGTCCGACGCTGAGGGAAACAAAATGAGTTGCTCCACACACGTTAAAATAAATGTATATTGGCTATTTCTTAATAATGAGATAGCTGTATAATTATAAGTTAAATGTGGGTAACTAACTGTTATCTGGTCAGTTTTTGTACATCCTAAGTTTATTGTACTAAGTGTAAAGTTTAAATTGAACGTTTTATGAAAGCTTGGATTAAAAAGTTATTAAATTGTTAAAATACAATGTCCGTAATTCTTCATCAGACAAACATTATTTACACACATACTGCATATATATTTCAAAACTTACACTTAAATGCATTTTCCTGATGTTTTGGTGTTTACCGCAAAGAATTATGGGCAATATCCTTCGCCAGAGTCCGCTTAGATGCAGACTACGGCAAAGTCCGGATCAGGGGCGCAAAGGGGGCGGGGCCAAAGACCTCCCTGGAGGATTGGGACTGTACCCTACGCACTCGCACCCTTTATCGGGAACGTGCAAATGAGGGGCGCCAGGTTGGAAGAGCGAGTGTTGGGACGGGGACACAGACACACACACACACACACACACACACACACACACAGGTGAAACACACCGGGGCGGGGCAGATGATCGAGAGGGGAACAGGAAGCAACGCTGAAATGAAACCCACAGAACTCATTTCAAAATAAAACCAAATACAGAAATAAAATCCACACCATGACAATTCCTGTTTCAGACCTTATTTTGAAGCTGAAACTAATGGGGATCCAAAATGTAATGCCAAAAAGTAACTGAAATACTCTCTGGAGGCTGTAGCTAAGTATTGTTATCTGTCCGACACTGACGGCACACGCTCCATCAGCTTCTCTCAGCTCAGATCAGACTCTGCTCTGGGTTCTCAGACTAAACAGAAACTCGGAGGAGATCCAGCTTCTTCGGTTGTTGGTTCTAAACGATGGAACGATCTGCCCCTGTGCGTGAGACTGATTCACTCACTTCCTGTTTCTGAGTCTCGTCTTAAAACTCTCTGGTTCTCATTGGCTTTTAATTGATTTTATATTGATTATTTTTGCTGTAAATAGTGAATATTTTGCCACTACTTTGTATTTTCAATTTTTTGTATGTCTATTTGTGTTCAGCACTTTGGTCAATCTTGTTGTTATTATTAGTGCTGTATAAATAAACTGGACTGGACTGGACCGGACTAGACTTGACCGGACTGGACTTGACCGGACTGGACTTGACTGGACTGGACTGGTGTAACTGATAGAGCTTCCGTCACTTTGGATCCAAAAGCCTTTTCTGTTTCCCACAATTCCTCTTTGCAAAGTCCCTTTTGAGCCGTATCTCAGCAGTAAGTGGGTAATAAAAGTCGGATCTGGTGTTTTCTCATGTCCCCAAATATTGACTCTTATTCAACTGTCGCAGTCGCTGGCGGGAGTCCGGTAGTAAGTAAGCTTTATTTATATAGCGCCTTTCACAGACCAGAGTCTCAAAGCGGTTTACAATTGTTATTTTTTGGGCATTTGTCTCTCACTCCACACAGAGATGGGAGCGGGGCCAGTACAGGAGGCACATGCCAGAACTATTGTACATATTTTTAGTGGTAGGGGAAACCGGAGTACCCGGAGGAAACCTACGCAGACACGGGGAGAACATGCAAACTCCACTCAGAAAGGCCCTGGTCCGGCCGGGATTGGAACCCAGGACCTTCTTGCTGAGAGGCGAGAGTGCTATCCACTCAGCCACCGTGCCGCTCGTCCGGTCTCTGAGTCCGGTATCTGAGTCCAGTCTCTGCAGAGTCCGGTCTCTGCAGAGTCCGGTCTGAGTCCAGCTGGTCCTCCGCAGGCAGCACCGACACAGATCTCAGGCCACATCATCTTCGTTTGGAACTGATTCTAATCACAGCAGAAGAAGCAGTTTGGAAGATTTTGGACGCGTCACTCTTCCACCTGCAGTGGGGGGTCCTCCATGTGTGTGTGTGTGTGTGTGTGTGTTTGTATGTATACTGTATGCATGTGTGTGTGTGTGTGCGTGTGTGTGTGTGTATGTGTACATGTATGTGTGTGTGTATATGTAAGTATGTATGTGTTGATCGACGCCGTTGAAACTAATGTACCATCAATTTTTTCTTCTCTGGGGCGGTCCTCGTTCACACACACACACAGACACACACACACACACACACACACAGACACACACACACACACACGTGTTGTTGTATGTATGGGAACAGTGGAGGCGGTGAAGCCCAACTTAATTATAAAGTAATGCATCAAAGTGCCTGTTCTGCGCAGCCTGACGAACACGGGGTTAATTGTGTGAGCGGAGAAGCAAAGTCCAGCGCTGTGTGTGTTAAACTCGATACAGAAACCGAGGCGTGGACGAGAGATTCTAATAATAGCACATCCACAGATTGAAAAAGCCTCTGAGCCAGCGAAAAAGTGGGAGGAAAAGTTTGGACTGCTTCATGAGCAAAGGAGGATGAGCAATACTTACACATACTGTACGTGCGTGTATGTACAGTATGTGTGTGTATGTGTGTCTGTGTATATGTGCTTGTATGTGAGTATGTATGTATATATGTCTAAAAATATACAGTATATATGGCTCAAAAGTGGCCAAAATGACCTGCGCTGACATGCTGCAATACCACCCCGGGCCTGTGGGGGTGGACCCAGAAGAAGAATTAGCCAATGCTAACATATAGCGTTAGCAGACCTCTGAAAAACGTCTTTACAGGATGGTCCAAAAGTTGGCTCTTGGCCCAAAGCTCCGTTCCACATGTGTGTCAATGCTGAGTGTTCTGGACCAGTCTAGTTTAGTCGCTGTGGACTTTAGAAGTCTCTCGTTTAAATGAATGGAGCTCGTGCAGCTGACACATGCACAGATGTTTTTTTTCACATTTTCCAGCCCCCGCGGCCATTTTGAATCACTCCATGAGAGCCCAATGTTTGGCCCATTAGTTAGAACGGCGGAGATAGACGTCCATCGCACAGGTAATTGTCCACACAGGTACATATGGACACACAGAGACACAGGTACATATGGACACACAGAGACACAGGTACATATAGACACAGGGACACAGGTACATATAGACACAGAGACACAGGTACATATAGACACAGAGACACAGGTACATATGGACACACAGAGACACAGGTACATATAGACACAGAGACACAGGTAC